GAGACAATATTATATAATAAACACTAGACAATGTTATATAATAAACACAAGACAATATTATATAATAAACACTAGACAATATTATATAATAAACACAAGACAATATTATATAATAAACACTAGACAATATTATATAATAAACACTAGACAATATTATAGAATAAACACTAGACAATATTATAGAATAAACACTAGACAATATTATAGAATAAACACAAGACAATATTATATAATAAACACTAGACAATATTGTATAATAAACACACTTCTTTAATAAAAATATTACGTTTCAACACAAATTAAACGTGTCATCATCAGTTGAAATAATGAATGATATTTAATATTTTACTAAAGAAGTGTGTTTTTTATATAATATTTTCTTCTGTTTGTGGTTTGTATTCCTCATTTCTAAATGTCCTTTAAGTCTAATGTAAGATATACTGTATATACTGAACAAACACAAAGCACATACAACAATCAGAGATTTTATACATAGTTATATATCTCCAGCATAGTTATCATCTACCAACATTGTAGAACCATCAACCAACCAAAAATAGAGTATCATATTATCATTAACCAACCAAGCCTACAGTATCATATTATCAATCAACCAACCAAGCCTACAGTATCATATTATCATCAACCAACCAAACCTACAGTATCATATTATCAATAACCAACCAAACCTACAGTATCATATTATCACATGATAATGTTATATATTAATTCTATAATTTCAGATCTCGGTAAAGAATCGAGTGTATCTCTGGGTGGTTTGAATGGAGATCAAGTTTTAGATGCCATTAAAAACTTAACTAAATAACAGACGATAAAACCTAGAGACAATTGTAAATACCAGATAGAGAAACTTGGAATAATTTAATCATATTAAAACTTTAATTCTTTATTGTGTTTTATATTCTACCCCTGACCCTGAGATCAGATATCTTACCTACAGTCCTACACTAACAAACATTACTCACTGTTATAATAGTACTCAATACATCAATTATAGAGAGATATAGAAATACCACTGTTAAAATAGTACACAATACATCAATTGTAGATTGATATAGAAATACCACTGTTAAAATAGTACACAATACATCAATTGTAGAGTGATATAGAAATACCACTGTTAAAATAGTACACAATACATCAATTGTATAGCTATATAGAAATACCACTGTTAAAATAGTACACAATACATCAATTGTAGAGCTATATAGAAATACCACTGTTAAAATAGTACACAATACATCAATTGTAGAGCTATATAGAAATACCACTGTTAAAATAGTACTCAATACATCAATTGTAGAGTGATATAGAAATACTACTGTTAAAATAGTACACAATACATCAATTGTAGAGTGATATAGAAATACCACTGTTATAATAGTACTCAATACATCAATTGTAGAGTGATATAGAAATACTACTGTTAAAATAGTGCCCAATACATCAATTGTAGAGTGATATAGAAATACCACTGTTATAATAGTACTCAATACATCAATTGTAGAGTGATATAGAAATACTACTGTTAAAATAGTACTCAATACATCAATTGTAGAGCTATATAGAAATACCACTGATAAAACAATGTTCAATACATCAATTGTAGAGCTATATAGAAATACCACTGTTAATATAGTACTCAATACATCAATTGTAGAGTGATATAGAAATACTACTGTTAAAATAGTACTCAATACATCAATTGTAGAGTGATATAGAAATACCACTGTTAAAATAGTACTCAATACATCAATTATAGAGTTATATAGAAATACTACTGTTAAAATAGTACTCAATACATCAATTGTAGAGTGATATAGAAATACCACTGTTAAAATAGTACTCAATACATCAATTGTAGAGCTATATAGAAATACCACTGTTAAAATAGTACTCAATACATCAATTATAGAGTTATATAGAAATACTACTGTTAAAATAGTACTAAATACAACAATTATAGAGTGATATAGAAATACCACTGTTAACATAGTACCCAATACATCAATTATAGAGTGATATAGAAATACTACTGTTAAAATAGTACTTAATACATCAATTGTAGAGCGATATAGAAATACTACTGTTAAAATAGTACTTAATACATCAATTGTAGAGTGATATAGAAATACTACTGTTAAAATAGTACTAAATACATCAATTGTAGAGCGATATAGAAATACTACTGTTAAAATAGTACTCAATATATCAATTATAGAGTTATATAGAAATACCACTGTTATAGTACTCAATACATCAATTGTAGAGCTATATAGAAATACTGCTGTTAAAATAGTACTTAATACATCAATTGTAGAGCGATATAGAAATACTACTGTTAAAATAGTACTAAATACAACAATTGTAGAGCGATATAGAAATACTACTGTTAAAATAGTACTTAATACATCAATTGTAGAGCGATATAGAAATACTGCTGTTAAAATAGTACTTAATACATCAATTGTAGAGTGATATAGAAATACCACTGTTAAAATAGTACTCAATACATCAATTGTAGAGCTATATAGAAATACTGCTGTTAAAATAGTACTTAATACATCAATTGTAGAGTGATATAGATATACTACTGTTAAAATAGTACTCAATACATCAATTGTAGAGTGATATAGAATACTACTGTTAAAATAGTACTCAATACATCAATTTAGAGGGATATAGAAATACTACTGTTAAAATAGTACTCAATACATCAATTGTAGAGTGATATAGAAATACCACTGTTAAAATAGTACTCAATACAACAATTATAGAGTGATATAAAAATACCACTGTTAAAATAGTACTCAATACATCAATTGTAGAGTGATATAGAAATACCACTGTTAAAATAGTGCCCAATACATCAGTTGTAGAGCGATATAGAAATATTAAAACAGAACGTAGTCAGTTTCTGTTTTAATAGAAATTTGGTTTGCAGCCCTAATCGTACCAGCAATATATCTTTAAGATTTTTGTACGTTTTGTGCCCTAAATCTGTGGCAGAATGCACACATTAATGCAAGTTTTCGAAAATGTGGTCAGGAGAACCCTCTTTGACGCTCCATGAATGCCTTGCAACAAGACGTCTACACAGAGTTCCCGCATTTTAAATTCAGTAGCGAGTCATTCTGCCCTCTATTTGTACCCCCAGTCTCGGGAGGCTGGCGCCACCACTGCTAAGGAAAGGACCCATATATAGTATACCGGTGAACTCAGAAAAAACGATGACAAAGCTAAAGTCATATAATTTCGACCTCATAATTGTAGAAATACATGTATTAGACATCTTTTCACAAAAAATAACTTCATAGTTTTAGACACGTTGAAATGGCGGGATTGTAAAATTCCGTGCCAATAATATCAATATTGGGCCTGTCGATATATATTTATGTATTATGTATGATGATGATGATAAGAAAGAGAGGTGAAATTGATAGTGATTATTATTGACAGTCCTATCTATTTACCAATCTCACGTGACTCTCATCTCTATTATTTTATCATCATTACCTCAATACTGAACTAATTACTTTCTAATCTCGTCAAAAAAAAATACAGTCGCAGTTAGTTCAAAATATAGGTTTACTTTTCTTTTCTGAAACAGTGTCAGTGTGTTTAAAGGTAGGGACACTTCCTTATTTTATTAATACTGAAAATAAACAAATTCAGAAGCTTTTGATTATCAGTGATATTATTGAAGGTTATTGTCTTGTCTTTGGCAAAATATTGTGAAGTATTTACGACTCCGTTCAAAGTTCAGACCCAGTCTGTTTTGTTTTTGTTCAGATATATCGCCTGTGTGCTGGAAGGTAAAATTGATTTTGATCTCTCAATCACTGTTTCTTATGGTTGAAGATCAGAAAATAGCTTTTAGTTTTGAGTTGTTAAACTTGAGAAAATAGGGAACATGCAAAGCCCAAACGGAAACTCTAAATTGCTGCTTACACGGAATTTCAGCCAGACCTACTCTGATATATATTTCCTAGGATTATTTCCAGAATCCAACATTCAAGTATTTCTGGAATGAAGATGGTCACATGATAACTAGTCAAGATGCCGTCGTTTAGAAGAAAATCAAGCTCCAATTTAACCCTGCATGTTAACCCTAACCGTAGCCTGTCTCAGGGCAACAGACCTCTACTACTATCTCGAGACAGTGACTATGGGTCGACCAGCCTGACCGTCACCGGTAAATCTCCAAAAGGAAGCCGCACCCCGGAACCTAGGTCGAGAGAAAACGAGCTGATCGAGTCTCCCGCTATTTCTGTCACTCCTTCTGTTCTAGAAGACGATGTATTCATAGAACCCGGCCCTAGTTTAGATTATTTATTGGACAGTGGGGCCACGTAAGTAACAGCCCTAAGGAATATCAATATATTTTCTGCTAATTTTAAACCCGATATGACTTTTTCAGATCGGTAGAAGCCCTATTAGGTGAAATATATTCACGGTAAAAATAATGTTGTCAAATTTCCCTCATTGCCCAACATAGAACATTAGAACATTAAGGTAGAGGACGTCACACAACATTATTGAAGGAACATACAGTAGAACATGTAGGCGATCACTCACTGAAATTAACGAAAGCGACCTTCTTATGAGGTAGTGTGTAAAACGAGTGTAAGACTAGTTGATGTGTAGTCTACTCTATGCCGGTCAATTGAACAAATCTTATTGCATATTTTATAACAAAAGACAACCCACAAGGGAATATATGATATTACACATGATCGATTGTGATCCTCGCTTCTAAACGTCGTTCAAATCTTACATCTTATTGCAGTTGATGTGGAAGAAATTCAATTTTCTAAGTTTTTTAAAACTGAATATCATTACCTGTATCAAATTAAATTGACATAATTGTAGGACGGTGGAGGATGAGAGGGAAGGTTTAGAGAACAGCATTACCTCCCTGGATAGACAGCTCAGTGAATGGGCCACATACAACAAGAAGAAATCATTGGATAAAAAACAACTGTTTGAGTATATAAAATGTGGACTATTGTTTATTTTTGTTGTAGTTTGTAGCGTAAGTTTATTTAAACCAGATTTCTGTCTACCAACCAACAAAACTCAGTTTAGTTTTTAATGTCACCATTTGAAATGAAAATCCGACACCTGCTTCGTCTTTAATTTATTAAAACCTACCTAATTACACATTACATGACGTTATCCATCATAATGGCACCGAAAAGTTGGATGTAAAACTCCAGATCATTTCATTACAAATAACTCAAATCACTGCAGACAGGAGCTGGAAGGGAATCTGTGATGAAAAGAATTTATTAACATGTAGAACAATAGTCCTTAAAGAGATTATAAAGAGGTTTACTAAAAAAAATTATATGTGATAAAGCATATTTGCAATTAGTGACATCATCAAAACCTCATTTTTAATGAAATTGCAGGAACCACAGACGTCTGATTGAAATAGCAATTGTTTGATTGATTCTATGTGCCCGATACACAATCTGTTTAATATTAACGTGTGTCTATCTTTTCTTATCTTTCTTCAGATTATTATAGCAATCAATCCCGAGGTGGAAGAGGAATCATTTCAACTTACAATAGCCAACAAACATCCCGAGGGTGAGTCTCTTTCAGGACAATTCTAAACTGAAATCTTAGAACAAACATGTCCATGACAGAAAACCTAATAAATCACCAGTATTTTAGCCACAAAGCTTTTCTTATACGACCGACCAAATTGAGTTATGATCATATCGACCAGTTCCTCCCAAATTCAATATGGTCTACCTATGAATTGTTGAACACTGACGAGAATGGATTTATATACAATTAATTTTAGAAAAATTTGATATTTTACTATTTTTAATTTCAGATATCTATCTATCTAAAATCACTCAGAGTCATTCTATAATTAAACTACGAATTCTCGGACCGTTTACAGACCACCCTGAAAACAATACAATCTTTAAACTGACAGACCATCTAGTTACAGTCAAATTACCAACTGATCAAAACTCTTCACAGGTAGGTCAATGTGAGTTCATTAACAGTTTTGTGTTGCTGATGGGATGGTGTCTTTAACTTGGGTACAATTTAAGCGGTATCGCATCCAAGTTTCTCTATGACCCCTTTTGAATTTCAATATTTTTTATGATTAGCCAAAATTGAAATTTATCACGACGATCTGTGAATCAAATCAATTACAACAAGATGATCTGCAGTCACTCAACTACCATAGGAACTGATTGAACCAAGTTGACGAGCCTCCGTCCGTAATGGGCCGCACTCTTCCCAGAAAAAAAAATGAACAGGCATCAAATTGACAAAGACAAAGATCTCAGAATGCAGAGAAGAACTATTCTGCAGGAGAGGGGTGAATAAATGAATGAATGAATAAATGAATAAATGAATGAATAATCAAGCATGAATAGATGACAAAAATAAGTTATAAAATCCAATTCAAAATAAATACGCTGTTTATTTCAGTGGCATCTAGTGATGAATGAAACCAACTTGAAACTGGGGAAAATTGTCACCAAAGAAAAGGAATTTACTTGCTACGGAGATGCGTGAGTTTAAAGCTACCACCAACCCTTATTGATAGTAAAGATTCAATATATTGATTAACGCCTTTAAAGCTGTCGTGACTAAACCATTAAAATGTATTGTTTTAAAGAACAATTTTGAATCAAAAATCAAATCTTCCTCAATTGATCAGTAGTTAGTCCGGTATACCCTACTTTGTAATTTCTCTTACTTGCAGAATACACTGTAACTTGTCGTTGACCACGGATTATGATAAACCTGTACCAATAGAATACTCCTATTTGCCAATAGGACAACAAGCTCACAATGGAGTTTACTATGCTGCCGCCATTCTGCTCACTGTTTATATTCTAATTATATTTGAAGTAGGTAACAGTTATTAAAATAAGGACAACGCACGTGCATCTTCAGATTTGTTTGTGTTTGCAATTTTACCTAACTAATTTATCATTTATCATGGAAATGGATACTATTTCGGATGCCCTCGACAGTTTTTTTTTCATCAGAATATAAGTCAGATAGTCTCAGGTAAACGTTGATTATTTTCTTGACATTCTATTCGATTATGAGTAACATACTATATTTTTCAGCTGGTCCACCGAACAGTAGCTGCTCTGATTGGATCATTCGCTGCTATAGCTGTTTTATCTGCTTTAAACGAGGTATGTCTATCTAATACAATCAAATGGTTTTATTGTTTGTTAGATCAGACTTGACTAATTATTTCAATTAGAAAGACAAGTCTGGACTAGGCCGAAAGCTGCTGGTTGAATAATACTGTTGTTTAACGCTTTCTAAACCTTTGTGAATTTATTTTCTTCTTCCAGAGACCAACAACTGACACTATAATCAGTTGGATTGATATGGAAACTATGATGTTGTTATTTGGTATGATGATTTTAGTTGCTATATTCGCTGAAACTGGTTTCTTTGATTACTCGGCGCTAAAGGTTTGTTGTTAAGTGGAGGAGGGTGTTCACAATAAAACAAAAATATCCGTAAGTAGGGAACTCTTGACAAGCCTGAATACCTGAGATCTTAATCCGCTATGTGGACTCCCTGAAAGAGAAGTTCTCACAGTAGTATTTGGTACTATGTGCTAGTCTGAAGTAAGTTGGATCTTTATTCACCAAGAGGATATTACAATGTTGACAGTCGTCTGTTACTTCAAACTTGCTGATAGTTTTCTAGTCCGTGATATAAATATCTATATAATATCTATTTTTTTATCGATATATTTTAACAATCATTTACGTTA